CCCAGGTCACACCCACACACTTGTGTCACCCACCATGCCCCTGTGTCACCCACCATGCCTCTGTGTCACCCACCATGGCTTTGAGTCACCCAATACCTCTGTGTCACCCCATGCCTCCTGTGTCACCTGCCATGCCTCTGTGTCACCTGCCATACTCTAGTGTCACCCCATTCCTCTGTGTCACCCACACTTCTGTGTCACCCACATACTTCTGTGTCACCTACATACCTCTCAGTGTCACCCCCATGCCCCTGTGTCACCCTGCCATGCCTCTGTGTCACCCGCCATTCCTCCAGCTGATCTGCCATTCCTCTGCATCACCTGCCATACCTCTGCTGTCACCTGCCATAATTCTGTGTCACCTGCCATACTTCTGGTCACCTGCCATGCCTCTGTCACCCACCATACCTCTGTGTCACTCTGCCATGCCTCTGTGTCACCTGCCATACCTCTGTGTCACCTGCCATACCCCTCTGTGTCACCTGCCATGCCCCCTGGTCACCCCACACTCTGTGTCACTACCACATACTTCTGTGTCACTCCATGCCCTGTGTCACCCACCATACCTCTGTGTCACTCTGCCATGCCTCTGTGTCACTTGCCATGCCCCTGGTCATCTTGCCATGCCTCTGTGTCACCCACCATGCCCCTGTGTCACCCACCACACCTGTGTCACCCTGCCACACTCTGTGTCACCTGCCATGCCCCTGTGTCACCTGCCATACTCTGTGTCACCCGCCATACTTCTGTGTCACCTGCCATACTCTGTGTGCTCACCTGCCATGCCTCCTGGTCACCCACCATACCTCTGTGTCAATTTGCCATGCCCCTGTGTCACCTGCCATGCCTCTGTGTCACCCAGCCATACCTCTGTGTCACCTGCCATGCCCTGTGTCACCCACCATACCCCCTGTGTCACCTGCCATACTTCTGTCTCACCCACCATCTCTGTGTCACCTCACACTCTGTGTCACCTGCCATACTTCTGTGTCACCTGCCATGCCCTGTGTCACCTACCATTCCTCTGTGTCACCTGCCATGCCCCTGTGCCCACCATCCTCTGTGTCACCCACCATACCTCTGTACCCCATTCCTCTGTGTCACCCACCATACCTCTGTGTCACCTGCCATTCCCCTGTCACCTGCCATACTTCTGTGTCACCCACCATCTCCGTGTCACTCCACACTTGTGTCACCTGCCATTCATCTGTGTCACCTGGCCATACTCCTGTGTCACCTACACACTTCTGTGTCACCTGCCATGCCCTGTGTCACCCACCATCCTCTGTGTCACCCACCATACCTCTGTGTCACCTGCCATTCCTCTGTGTCACCCACCATACCCTCTGTGTCACCTGCCATGCCTCTGTGTCACCCCCTGCTATACTCTGTGTCACTCCCATTCCTCTGTGTCACCTCCCATTCCTCTGTGTCACCCACCATACCTCTGTGTCACTGCCATTCCTCTCAGGGTCACCTGCCATGCCTCCTGTGTCACCCACCATACTTCTGTGTCACCTGCCATCCTGTGTCACCCACCATACCTGTGTCACCCACCATACTTCTGTGTCACCCACCATACCTCCAGGCTCACCTGCCATGCCTCTGGTCACCCACCATACTCTGTGTCACCCACCATACCTCCAGGTCACCTGCCATGCCTCTGTGTCACCCCATTCCTCCGTGTCACCACCATACTCTGTGTCACCCACCATACTTCTGTGTCACCCACCATACCCTCTGTGTCACCTGCCATGCCCCTGTCTCACCTGCCATACTCTGTGTCACCTGCCATTCCTCTGTGTCACCTGCCATTCCTCTGTGTCACCTGACATCTCTCTGTGTCACCTGTCATGCCCTGTGTCACCCACCATACCTCTGTGTCACCCCATGCCTGTGTCACCCACCATACCCCTCTGTGTCACCCACCATACCTCCAGGTCACCCACCATACCTCTGTGTCACCCACCATACCCTCTGTTGTCACCCACCATACTCTGTGTCACCCTGCCATCTCCATGTCACCTGCCATGCCCCTCTGGTCACCCACCATCCCTCTGTGTCACCCACCATACCTCTGTGCCTGCCATGCCCTCTGTGTCACCCTGCCAAGCCTCCGTGTCACCCACCATACCTCCTGTGTCACCCACCATGCCTCTGTGTCACCCACCATACTTCTGTGTCACCCACCACACCTCCGGGTCACCCACCATAACCTCCTGTGTCACCCTGCCATGCCTGTGTCACCCACCATACCTCCAGGTCACCCACCATGCCCCTGTGTCACCTCATTACACTCTGTGTCACCTGCCATCCTCTCCAGTCACCTGCCATGCCTCTGTGTCACCCACCATACCCCAGACACCCACCATACCTCCAGTGTCACCTGCCATTCCTCTGGTCACCCCATTCCTCTATGTCACCCACCATGCCTCCAGGTCACCCACCATACTTCTGTGTCACCTAACATACCTCTGTGTCACCTGCCATGCCTCCATGTCACCCTGCCATGGCTCTGTCACCCACCATGCCCCCTGTGTCACCTACCATACTCTGTGTCACCCACCATACCTCTGTGTCACCTGCCATGCCCCCTGTGTCACTCCACATTCCTCCTGTGTCACCTGCCATTCCTCCTGTGTCACCTCCATTCCTCTGGTCACCTGCCATCTCGTGTCACCACCATACCTCTGTGTCACCCCATTCCTCTGTGTCACCTGCCATGCCTGTGTCACATGCCATACTCTGTGTCACCTGCCATTCCTCTGTCACCTGCCATACTTCTGTGTCACCTGCCATACTTCTGTGTCAACTGCCATACCTGTGTCACCTGCCATACCTCTGTCACTTGCCTCTGTGTCACCTGCCATGCCCTCTGTGTCACCTGCCATTCCTCTGTGTCATGCCATACCTCTGTGTCACCTGCCATTCCTCTGTGTCACCATACCTCTGTGTCACCCTACCATACCTCTGTGTCACTTGCCATGCCTCTGTGTCACCTGCCATGCCTCTGTGTCACCTGCCATTCCTCTGTGTCACCTGCCATACCTCTGTGACACTTACCATCCCCTGTGTCACCTGCCATTCCTCTGTGTCACCTACCATACCTGTGTCACCTGCCATTCCTCTGTGTCACCTACCATACCTCTGTGTCACCTGCCATTCCTCTGTGTCACCTCCATACTTCTGTGTCCTGCCATTCCTCTGTGTCACCTACCAGTGGCGGCTCGTGAAAAATAAAATGGAGGGACTGCAAGCCTCACACCGAGTCCCCACCAAACAATAAGCATGGAATTTCAGAACAGTACAAGCAGGAACAGAGAATATACACGCCAGTTTAACATCAGTGTTTATCAGAAATGTGAATGGCTCTGTGGTTGTGACGAGGCAAATACTTTATTCTGCTTTCCATGCTTATTGTTTGGTGGGTTCTCGGTGTGAGGCTTGCAGTCCCTCCATTTTATTTTTCACGAGCCGCCACTGTCACCTACCATACCTCTGTGTCACTTGCCATGCCTGTGTC